GGCAGAGGCCTAGAGCTATCGTAAGACAAAGAAAGAAGAAGACAGAAAGAGAAGTATCGTTCTCCGTCGCCAAGAACTAACTATCCAGAAAGGGATCATTACAGATCGTTACAATTGCTGAATAAAGTTACATCAAAACTGTACCTATTGTTCCAGATAATCTGATATCCTAAACAAATTCTAGAATCTTAGGAAGATTTTGACCATTTGGCATAGTAAGATGTAACTGTACTTTATTTTTATTTTTTGGGGGATTTTTTTCATGGCCTCTCTCCCTCTCCTTATATTATCACCCCCAGGTCTACATTCTTTTACAGTAACCCACAGTGAAGTGAGTCCCCAGTCTGGCAAGAATGCCCATACTATCTTTATAGGCTAGGGGGTATTTTTATGTGTATTTTTACTATGCCAGGGACTCATTACACCATGAGATACTGCAGTTATGTATTTATATTTTCCTATGCAATGAATTTCATGTCCTAAAAATCCCTGCAGACTAAGTCTTGTACGAAAACATCACCCATAGTACTTGTACTTGTATTTGGGGGTAGGCATAAGTCGGGGGCATTTCGGAATTGGGAAGGGTCGTTATATGAAAACTAAAACAGAATAGTAAGGTTGAGTGATAAGTAGTGACTACAGTCACAGGCCAGCAAAAATCTGGCACACTTCTGGTTCTGGTATAGAGGGTCGAGTAATATCTTGTGATTACGATCACATTTCTTTATTTTTTTTATTTTATACCGTTACAGTTCATAAAGATTAAACTAATATACTGTGACACCTCCTTCAGCATCAATCATGGTCTGCAGCTGTTGAGGCATACTATCTATTAACCCCATGAGCTATTCACTAGGAATCCCCTTCCAAACAATATTTAAAGCCTGTTCCAAGGCTGGAGTATCTCCAATCCTACCCTAGGTTTCCCACAGCTCTGACTCCATATCAATCCATAGTGCTTCTATGAGGTTCAAATCTGGAGACTTTGCTGGCCATTTGATTTGTTCCATCTCATTTAGTTGCCTGTATTGTCTGGCTGCTCCTTTATGACTGGGAGTACCATCCTCCACAATGCCAACCTACCCATATTCCTTGCAAGCCTTATGCCAGAATAGGACCAAATGGGGTTCCATGACCGTCTCCACATAAACTACTGAATCAATCTTTGCTTTACCAGGAATATAGACCAGATTTGACTTTAGTGTACCACAAAAAGCACCCCATACCACTTTTGATTGTCATCTAGACTCATAGGTGTCATCAATGCAATCAGGATGATATTCTTCTGATGTCTTGCATGTAATCCAGGATCAGTTACTAAAGCCAGCCATTGAAAATGTTGATTCATCCATTGATAAAACTCGAAGCCAATCATCCTGTGTCCAATTTAATTGCTCCTAGCACCAGACAACCCTGATGGGATGGTTATATGGCCGTATCGCAAATTTTCGCCAAGGAACTCACCTGTGGTATTCCATAGAATCCATTACTCTCTTCACTGTATCGGGACTGCAGGCATAATTCATCTCAATACAGATATTCCAGCTCATCCAGCGCGTTCTTGCATCACATGTAACAAAGGCTTCAAGGTGCTGCTTCTCGGCATCATCAAATATAGGTGGGTGGCCAGTCTGGTGTCTGTTTGAAGGGGTGCCTGTTTCCCTTGCTCTCTGATAGATCTTTCCACTTGTTAGCTATTTCATATCTTAACTGTATTTATATGTATTATTACTTACCTTCTGACATGTTCGCCTATCAATATTTAAATGTTTTCCAATCTTGGTCCAACTCCACTCGGCTTCTCGTAAGGTTATTACCTTAATGCGTTCATCCCGGGTCATCTCACAGTGCTGGACACCTTCTGGGTGCTGTTTGCGTATTCCTTTTTGCCTCATATCATGATGTTTATGCGGCATTTGGGGTATGCGGCATTTGGGGCACGCAGTTGCAATTTACTCTGCTATGGTACCGTGGCACCTATGGAATAGGGGCAAGAATTGCAGGGATCGGGTCTCATCCAGCAGCGCCCGAGATACCCCTACACCCAAGTACAAGTACCGTATTTACCCTGTTAATTCGCTAGCTCCTAATATCCTTGTTAATTGCGACATCAGCCCAAGTAAGTTTAGCTTAGCAAGTTAATAGAATCGAGAAAAAAGCCAGTTAATAAGATCCAACACAAATAATTGACTCATACTATTGTGTTACGAAAGCGCTAATCCTTCTTAAGCGTTTCTATCTCTGAATCCGGAGATTAGTGACTAGCGGAGATAGCGAATTCACAGGGTAAATACGGTAGTAGATCTAACGAGTAGATACGGTACCCAAGTAGGCGAAGTCTTAGATGGCGCCTTCCTTGCAGCGTCGTGTTGCCAATGCGAGAGGACTGGAGCTACGAAGTTAGACTAGCTGGATCGTGGCACTGAATGATCGCTATCACTATCTCGGATTAGCCCACAAAGCAGAGAGCGCAAGCTAGCTATGACAAGACAAGTGGATAGCGGAGTAACGGGTCTAGGAGGTTGAAGACTCGGTTGATGTAATAGCTCTGTTCGCGCAAGTCATCTCAGATGTGGTACTGCCCGCACCAACGTTAATAAATAAAACACATTTCTGGCACAAGGCGCTTTGCTGAATCTAGGGAATAAGTGAAAAAGGCCAATAGTGCTTCTTGGGCACGGCCGGTTTGCCCAATCGTCTCACCAGTCCCCCCAGTCCCTCGACGGACTGGGGGGACCACATGACCGGGGGTGTCCGAGATGGATGGATGTGTTAGGAATTGTGTCTCTGCTCCTACCAAAAATCTCCACCGCGAGCGACACCATGTTACTATACGTCACTCCCCCGTCCATAATCCTGATAGTGATAAAACGGATCGCTCACTTGCTCGACTGGTTGGAGAGAGTGGAGTTGTGAATTGACTACGTAATTAACAAAGGAAAGGTTGCTCGTAGTGAAGAAAACTAAACTAAGAAAAAACACAACAGGAGGGTAACAGAAATTTTCCCTTCTCACATGCATGCTTAGCCATGCCACACAAATCTCCCGCATGCGTATATCTCATATGCCAGCTACCTGTTCATATGCCTATCCGCATTTACACCAATACTACCAGGACTACATGACCATCAAAGCCTACCTCTATACTTTCCCCCTTTTTCTCGTTTTCCTCTTTTTCTCTCTTTTCATCTAAATTGTCTTCCTCGAGATCAACCAATACCTCAATCTTAAAAAATATGTTTGCTCATTTGGTCTCTGCCTTTGGAATTCCACTCAACTGGATGGATGGCGCTCGGTGCACCCACCCCGACCACCCGCAGAAGGACATAAAATCACCACTTGTCACTCGGGAGTGGGCCGCCATGCTTTGGCTCGTGGTGATTGTGATGAGGGGGGATAGATGGCGAACAGAATTGACCAAAAACAAAAAGAGCTGCAGATAATTGGGGATGGGGAAAGCCCCCTCCTATCCAGGTGATTCTTCATACTTCTAGCTACCCCCCCTGTTCAACCCGAAAACCCAATCCGCACAAGCACCACCGGATACTTATGCCAGTGAACTAGCGGGGGTCACACACACTAAAATGGGGAGCTTATGCACGTTGATAGCGGGCAGGAGTTTGGCACGGGTGTGAAAATAATTTCATACACCAGTCCTATTGCTTCTCCACATTTTCTCCCCTCGCTTTGGGAATATAGATATCGCTTCTACTCCACCAACCACTTCAAGTATAATCGCAGCTAGAAAACCCTTCCTTCTCCTTTCTGCAAGAAAAATGAAATGAAATAGCAGTTGGGGGTGTTATCGTAAGGTGATTCGATTCGGGTAGTCATGGATGAGGACTTTTTGACAAGAATTTTTGAAGTCCGTGTAAGTAATTCCCAGAGGGAACTGAAGCTATCTATCCAATGGCTTGAATTTAAAGTATGATATTTTGGCGGGTCGGCGGTTGTTCCGAATCCCACTGTTCATTGGCGGGAAATGCCTCCGTCCCACTATGATATTTCTTTGTTCGTGTAGCACATAGCGACCAACCTAGGTTGAAGGTAATAAAATGCGCTCTGTCCAACTCACTTAATCGAGTCGTCTGACGGACTCTGAGGCTAAAACATCGCAGCACGGGAGTAAACATCAGGACAATTCCTCCCCACTTTCCCTCAAAACAAGCAACCATCACTAGCAGGTCTGTATGTACCAAAACCCTCCCGCAAAGGGCAGGGGAAGCAAGGATAAGTCGGAATAGAATTAGAATCCGTGGAGTATAGAGTATACTGCCAGCTTCAGAGGCCAAACAGAGATGACCAGATCAGGAATCCCTGCACAGTTTGGTAGGTGGGGTAGTTCTTCGAACCGGAACGCCGGCGCATCTTTTCTAATCCGCGGGGCAGATTCTAGAGGCCCTTCATTCTCTTCTAATCCACAATTATGTTTAAAGCCATTAGGCTTCGAGTTGAAGAGGAATACAGCATTTCAATGCGAAGATGATGGATATGTTGAAAACCCACACCTCGGTTACCTATCTGCTAGTAGCTAAAAGGTCGGAGAGAAGCTTGACATAAATAAAGAAATCCATCACAAGGAGCATGCCATCCGGCGAGCCAGCAGAGGTTTCATCATCAAGAAGTGAACGCTCCAAGGACCCCCGAATTAGAACTATACTATATAACACACGATAGAGATTTGAAGTCGTTGCGGCAGCCCCACTATTACCAGTACAATGATACCCGCCCAGTTTTAAGCAACAAACGATCAACCGTTACCCATCCGTAAAGCTACGCATAACCTTGTAGCTCCCTTGTTCCTGTTGTGACCCCAGGCCAATCTGTCTCTTGTCAGCACAGGGAAGCTATTCATCAATTGACACGGTTACCCATACATAGTTCTGATCTTGTTGAATTTCTCTTGGATACCACGACTTTCTCCCCCACATTCAAGTGGATGCCAGAGGCAGGAATGTCTATCGACTTAGCGAATCGCGTATCAAGGAACCCATTGGAATTTAATGGCGCTTACCCGGGAATATCCCGTACCGTCCGAACACCGGGCTGTACTTCATTCCCGGATCCACTCTCCTGTCTTTCATCAGCTTTTTCAAAGGCTGTTTTTCCGCAGGGACCACCCCGCCGGTAGAATAATCGACCTATCAAATCCCTTGTGAGCAGAATTCTTGCGAGATAGCAGGGTAAGTGTCAACAGACGTTGATGCTAGTACACCTCGGGCAATTCCCCGTCAAGCTAATCCTCTTGTCATCGCCCACGAGCAGCTCTCCCCAAAAATCTTCCTCCCACCGAGACACTTCCTCCCCATCCTCACCTGCGACCACCATGTTTGGACGAAATTTAGTAACATCCATTTCCTCCCCAATCATGTCACCAACACATCTAAGAGAAGCCATATTGGTGATCATCACTGGCGCGCAATCAGCGAACGATATTTCAACCTTCTTCCTTTGATTTGTCTGGGTCCCCCGTGCGGAGCCGGTGGTCGCGCCCGGCCGCTCCATAGGCGCAATGTTTCCTATGACCGGGCGGCGAGACGAACCTAGATAGACCAACCTCGTAGGAAAGCCAAGACAATCCGAAAAGAACCCCGAGAACCCATCCCCCATATCGTACCCCATGCAAGCCGAACTATACATCACTATCTCCCTAGTTACGAGTCCGCACGTATCTGGTTGGAGGGTAATACGCAGTTCCCTGCTCTCTCCCTTGGGCGGGGAGTACGTGACTATCAATACGTTTTCGCCCTCGCCACCGAAGGAAGTATGGAATAAGGATAACTGTGGGAAGTCTGCAATTCGCATAAACTTGTAAGCGTCCCCGTCCTGTTTCTGCAGCATAAATACCCGATCGTGCTCTGGTCCGATTGCGGTCATCTTCGCGGATTGCACAGAAATCGGACGAAGTGACTTTACTGGGTGAACGTATAAACTGTGGATGTACATTTTGATTTCGAGTTTGACTTTCTTTGGATTCCCGGGCTCTGTCTCCTTCCTTTCATTTCTCTTCGGCCCCTTCTGTTGCGGGGGAGAGGGGGGAAGGGTGTATTCAGAACTTGTCGATTGAGTGCCAAGCCCTACCCCCTTCCCCCGCAGACATCTTATCGGATAGGTGACTCCATTTATCCGATCCATATGTGTGCAGTTAACGGCCTACGAATTGGCAAAACCTCAGATCCGTACCAAAGGCAGTACTTATACGGTATACGAGTTACGGTCGGGGAGCGCCTGCTATGACTTGACCAGTAGACTACAAGTACTCGAGTACGGGTAGAAACCATCTAAAGTTAATCGAGTACTCGAGAACTTTTGCGGTACAGTACATAATCCTAGCGTTCTACACAGTATAAGTAGAGAACCAAAAAGCGATAAATGTAGACGAAGGAATAAGAGAAATTACGCTCTAGATTTAGTTCCGGGCGTCTGAAATCGATCCTTTACCAACAATGAACAGACCCCAATAACAAGGTTTTGTGAGAACATTGCATGGAACTGCTTAAAATTTAATACTCTTTAATTATATGAATTCAAACTCTTTATTGATTGAACATTGGTTGAGAACAGTTGGGGGGGGCTTTTGGAAAAAGTGAACACAAAAATTTATGCCAGGACTCTATCTCGAGTACTTTACTCGTGTGTACGAGTACAGTATTACTAAACTAAAAAAAAAAAGAGACCCATTTTTGGCGGACGGCAATATCGCGCTTGAAGAAACAGCCGCAATCAAGCGACCCGAGTACAGTACGGGCACCGGTCCCGGTGTCACCTCCGTGGGTTGGCGGATTGGATAGTCTAAAGAGATCACCAGTACTGTAGGGTTCGGGTGCAGCACTCTACAGTACGAGTATGATACTGCAAATATGACAAGTGGTGTTACAGAAGTCCCAACCTACCGGTATCTCATCATCCCACTGGGCCTGGCTCTTTTTGAAGCTCCACCGTCTTCGTATGATAGGGGTTTCTCGGCTCGTCCCCTCTTGGTTTTGGTAAAATGCATTGATCCGAGAGTTGACCTCATGGCTAGAAGATCGATAGTCTTGAGATCAGGGAATAGCCAATGGGGGCGACGTGAGGATAGTAGGAAATTATTTTACTGGGGTGAAGGAAAGCACTTTATGTCTTATCCCTGAGATAATCCCCTCATCTCCGTAGCCTTTGGATGGCGGGCACAGGAGATATTTTCAAACACCGCAATCGTCCACGACACCGCCTGCAATCGCAGGTCAAGACCCCATTATTATGAGCTAGTCCCCAACTGACCAGTAGCTGTTTTCTGCTGTTTCGAATTTTAAGGGGGTTCACAAGAACGCCGTAGTTTAGGAATTCAGGAGAGTAGATTTCCTGTGGGTTTCCGGGCGGGGGTCCCCCGTTTATATGTCGAACGAGAGAAGCGTAGATTAAGACAATTGACCCGGGATGGCACCCCGAAATTTGTAGGGCTTATTAGCCGTCGAGATCCCTACTCAAGTGCTCGGGTAGCGATAAACATGTCACAAGCGGGTCTGCCTTACCGGGTATCGCTGCTCTGTCGTTGCGGGTGTCAAGTGAGACAAAACCACCGGTGCTTGATACCAGGTTAGTGATTCTAGATCTGATAGGCGACGGCCGAAATATCATAATTCCGACATCCACCAGAAATGGGGATATAAAAGGCGAGTGTCTTAAAGCTTAGTGTCTATTTCCTACCCGTTTCCTGTAATGAGCCGTACGCTACGCCCCCACCACCCTGAAAAAGATAGGACAAATATTGGCGAATAATAGGAATGAAGAACAGCGAGGAAGGAAATGATATGGACCAAGTCTAACCGGAGCTCTAAGAAAGAAAGAAAAAGAGCAAGAGCAGATGCATATCAAATGGCGAGCCGAAACGGGAATAAACATCCTCCATCAAAGTCTATTAACACTACTTGGCAATGATTTATGGAGCGGGGATATTTCAGGTAACGAAGAAAGAAAAAGGTAAACTAGAAAAGCCAAAGGACAAGTCAAAGAGCCAATGTTAAAATACCGGTCGTCCACTGCAAGTTGGAGAATCGATCAAGTGTTGGTAGGATGGGCGTCAGCTTTCCTTAAGGGCCGCATGGGGGGGGGGGGGTTGAGGCATGGGCTGCTTGGTTGATGGGAGGTCGCTATCTGCGGACTTGGAAAGAGAGTCTTTGAGGTCCGATATTGGTTCCTGCTCATTAGGGTCTGCCAATACGAGTGCACTTTAGCCAAATATGTTCTGCGATATCGATGTTAAAGCTGCCACCTCTAGATTGTATACCGGTACCTACCGCACTCGCAGAGAGGAGGTCGGGAGGCATGCCTAGCCAACGTGATCTGCTGTATCATAATTGACACGGTTCCGTTCAAGTAGCATCCCTACGACCCGATCATTTCAGTTAGAGAGAGCCCATAACAGCGGGGTTAGGTTCACGCTATCTAGCGTGGCAGTGCGAACATCTCTCCGTTCTAAGAGCGTCTCTATTACACTCTCATGCCCGCACTCAGCGGCCCATGAGAGTGGCTCCCGGCCATATTCAGTGTCTGCCTGGTTGGAGTGGACATCCTCTCGTTCGAAACGCATCTTTACTATCCCCTCAAGCTCGTTCTCAGCGGCCCGTGAGAGTGGCGTTTGGCCATATAGCGTTTCTGCCTTTTCAGGATTGACTTCCTCTTGACCCAGCAAGCCTCCAGACCCCTGAACGCTCTCAAATCTGAACCATGTTGGGGAGGTAGTAACTTTCTCAAAGCCGATTTTAGCGCCAAGATCTCTACTCGTACTAAACCCCGAGGCTCCCCTACCAGCTGCCTGAGTGAGACACTTAACAGACCCCGGCTAGTTTTGGTCCTACTCCAAAAGACTCGCGTTGGTAATGGGTACGAATAAACACTGCTCCTAGTACAGCCGAAATTGCCAGCGAAACCCATTCCGGTGGAAATATCATGTTCGCCGTGCCGTGAATGACTAAGAGCCAAAAATTTTGGAAATTTATCCCGATAGCAGTATTTAAATGCTCCTCGGGGGGAATACGGGCTCCAAGTTCCAACAAATATGTTTCTTGATCATAAAGGATCGCCCACTTCTCACTTGTGCCCACCTGAGTATCTGCGTCATTGGTTGCAGCTGGGCATCTTGTCCTCCCAAAGTGTGGAGCAAGGGAGGACTGCGAGTTGTACATAGTCCATCCGATCCCGGCGAGAATTTTGCCCATGGCCCCTGGCTGAAGGAAAGGGAAAATGGCGGGGGAGCATGTCGGGGGAGCTCGTTAGTGAAGCCTATCGGGGAAGTCTGTGGGTTTTTTGCAGCTTATGACGGCCAATAACGGCTGGTCGGTACCATTGGCAAGTAAAATTGATAGCTTGCTAGTAAATTCCACAATATCGACGCCAGAAAACAAACTTCTATCGCGACTAAGATATATAAATATCGATTCACACCATGTAGGAATGTACTGTACTGTATATAGCTTAGCCCCCGACCAACGTACACTGTCAGACATCCATTAAATAGCCAAAACAATAGCGAAATTCAGAAGGGGGGCTAGAAGATTCCAGGCACTCCGGGACCGTATGCCTAGTATGATCGGCATCACTCAGCGGTTAGTCCCCCGAGATCCCCCCTAACCGTCCCTTCTAATTTATTAAATTTTATCGAACCCCCAGCCCTGGAGATCCACAGATCCTTTCCGGCCCCCACTGTCTCCAGGATAAAACGCGTCCGCGGCCACCATGGCCTAGGCACTGGGACCGCAAAATAATGCCAAACCTCGTCAGGAGCGTGGTCCTTGCCAAAGCCTACCGTCTTCAAAGGTTGTACGACTAGTCGGACTGCAAATAGTGTCCCCGGCCGGTCAAGTCGGTACCGCAGTGTCCCCGTTGGGAACCCAAGCCCCCCAGACCTTTGCAAACACCCGGAGACGATGGTCCACCTAATCTTCGGAACCCGAAGCAGCGCCTGTGAAATAAATAAATCACTTCAGGATCAACTTAACTCTCAAAAAATCAATGACAAGGGGAAGCCTCGGCTTCAATCCCGGAACCCACTTGGAGATGTACGGTACCAATTTCAAAATCTCCACCACGGCGAGATTGATCCGACTAGTTTCGACCAACCTACCTCAGAGCCCTTATCCCCTAAACATGTTAGCTTGAAAAGTCTTGGGGAAACGTGCAAAAAATACGGTATCCTCCAAAAATGCTGAGAAAATTCTAATTTAAAGGGATAGAGAGTCGTAAACAAAATAACAAAATACGGCACCACGATGAGGGAGAACGGTGGGAGAGGATAGTAAGTAACCCAATTGTTGATAATCTCTCTTACCCAACTGGCGGCAATAACAGGAGTATATATGAAAACATAGTACCACCCTGAACCTTCCATCCATCACCACTGATGTCCACTTCCTTCTGTCAATACACCAACAGATAACAAGGGGAAAACATTCTGCATAATTCCTGGACAAAAGGAATACTTTTCCACAATACCTGCCCCCCTTGGAAAATACCCGTACTTCCAAAGAACAAAGGAAACTAAGAAAACAGAGCATGCCGAGCTGCATTTCCAACAGAAAGGAAGTTTACTTAAACATATGGTTCTCCTCAAGCTTTACTCCCCACGGTATCCGCAAGGCATGTTTTATGGGGATCCTAGTTTTCCAGAAACCTGGTGGTTTTTCACTTCCTGAAAGAGAGTCGTACTGCAATTATCTGCTTCAGGATTCCATAAACGACGAGTTTTCTGGCTAATCTCCTACAACAGCTAACCAGCGTCGATGCTAGAAAGTGTTTCCAGATAGAGCATACACGAGGGGTCGTAGAGAGCTCGAGCATAGTGGTGTTAAGGACGGTAAGTTCTTAGGAACAGGAGTGCTAGTTTTGTCACGCCTCGTTATAGAGAACTCTGAAGGATATCCTTCAGACTTATCTTTTGTCCGAGCCGAAATGTTATAGAAAAGGAGAGACTCCTATAGCGAATGACAGATAGTTCCACATTGCCTATGTTCGGATTTAATCCTATCACTTCTGATCACTTTTTTCTTTTTTTTTTTTTGTTTAAGTGTGTGGTCAAAGCTATAAGCAACCACAAATACTATTTTTCTCTCTTCTAATTAGACCATCCCACCAAGCTCATACCTGTTAACTGCACACGATCCAGGACACTATGAATCAGTAGTTCGGTTGTGGAACGAAAGCCAGTGGCGACGCGAATACTTCCCTCTAGTCCTACAGACATCGGTGATTTTAGTATTCAGGTCGAAGCACATCGGAACCCCTCCTTAGTTTCATATCCTTCGAGACAAGGCTTCCGGGGGTTTGATGCCAAATCAAACTTCCAGGTCTTCGCGAGATCTCCGTACCCTAGGTCACCAACGATTCCCGTATGATATCATACGAGAAACAAATGCCCCGAACCCCAGAACTTGCAATGTCCAGCAACTTCAAAGAGTTCCGGGACCACTCGTAACCAGCTAACGTTTACGAGATGGATATTTATTCCATACCGCCAGAATTCTGTGGCCCTGGCCAATTGTTGGCCTGGATGCAGTAGCAGCCCGTTTTACAAACGTCAGGAGTATATATAGCGTAGTTGGCCAGCGCACGTGCGACGCAGTCAGCAACGTCTGATTTTCCTTTTTTTAATTTAAGCTTATAAAACCTAATCGTAGTCAATACTGTATTCAAACATAAAGACACCCTGGCTGCAGGAAGACTCTACCGGTACCCCAAAAGGGTGTCCATCATTTCAAGTCCATCGAATGCCGAAAAGCACTCGTACATTCTCTCTGTGCGTTTTTTTCAAGAAATGATGTCTTCCATGGTTCCGGTCTCTATAAATCAGCGATCTTCCCTTAGAACCCCCCCCCCTCGCTAGCCCCCAGTCCATGGTACCCGCACCGCCGAAGCGAACGGCTAAAAACGGTTTCTTTGAACAAATTACTGAGGCCTGATCCCGAGACCGGCGATGATTCCGGGCTCAAAAGAACGGGTTGGACAGCAGCTCGTATTCAAGTAACCTATCGCTACAATCTCTTCTTCATCGAACAATGGTCTGATCGTAGCACGGCTTGAGACGATTTCCTTACTGGTGAAGAGTCTTCCCAACATCTACCGTGGATAATCGAACCGTATGCTATGAAGTCCAAAATTCCCTTCTCTGGAAAGGGGGCGGAAAAGCACAGCAAAAAAAGCACAGCCCCTTTCCCTCTTCCGGGGCAGGGAAACAAAGGTCTCCTGACTTCACTGAGAGAGGAAAGCCCGACGACATAGCGCACGGTTCAACTATTCAAGTTTCCACGGTACCGGTACCGTATTGTACAGTACAGTACAGTAACTTCACGCCGCGGCCCACTGACTAATTCTGGCATGTCAGTACTTAGAATACCTATTTTCAATCCTCCCATTGGTGAAAGGCGGTTCCAGTCTAGGTTCTTATCGTCCATTATTACCTGCGCAAGGGTCAGGCATCTAGTCGTGGTACTCGAGTACAGTAATAGGATGTCAATTTAATTCCAATGGTCTACTACCGATACCGATAGCACAAAGATCACCAATAGATCCTCGTCGACAATACACCCAGCCCGCTTGACTCAGCCTATACGAGTACAGTACGGTACCAGCGTACTCGTACTAACATTCCGCCAAAACGGAGGTCTGTTATCCTTGTCAATATACAGTACTCGAGAGTACATTAAAGTGCCATGACTACAGTAAATGCCTAACCCTGCCCCGTATGAAGGGTAAGTTTTGTCGAACATCCCCCGGTTGTTCAAGTCGACCGCTCAGCCACCGCGCCAAGAGTTAGACAGACATTTTTCCTTCAAAAATCGGTGTAACTGACCTATTACGCTGCATAATTCGTGTCACACAAGCATAGCTTCGACGAACCAGAGGCGGAGAGACTAAAGCAGATATCCTAAGCGCAGTACTTGTACGAGTACTCGTGCAGGCGCCAGGAATATAATTTCGTCCAAAATAGGGGTCATTTTGCAGGTTAGCCTAAACCATCTGTTCACCAACCCGATCCCCGACACCCGCAAAAACTCTTGCATTTCGCCAGCCGACTATCAGTTGAGATCGCGGCATCAGCCCGCGACAGGTTCGGCGTGACACATGTTAACAGAATGGCGAACAGTGGTTCATCAGATCCAAGGTATCCATAGGGCGCAGGCTATCATGCTCGAGTATCGCGGTGTCGGGAAAACGGGAACCCAACCCGGGGGGCTTTTTGTCTCTAAATCCGGAGATTGGTGCCCTGCCGGAAATAGCTAACCGCAAGGCTTTTTCCGGTACCCTGCATCCTCGAGAGATCCCACCTGGTACTTGTACGAGTACAAGTATGGCTTATCGCTTCTGGCTGGATGTCTCAAAATAAGGTTTGATTCCCCGGATAGAACCGCCTGCAGCCAATTCTATACCTCGGTTAATCTACGGTTAGCTCATTGTGTAGCCAAGGCTATTTTCTCTGAGGAACGTGGGACAGTTGACAGCATGCGAAATGTGGGGGGAAGCGGATAGAACCTGACACTCGAGCACCCTTAAGGTGAGGCCCGACACATCAACTGGTGGGTTTTCACAGTTAACTGTAGCAGGAGACTGACAGATGTTCCCGCAATACGAGGTGATGGGGCTATGGACAAAAAGAATCAATAGAAACTCAGCTGCGGACAACGCACCGTTGTGCTTTTCCTTCACGTCCACTATTCAATTACAATACCAGCGGAAAGGAGCTAAAAACCGTTCAACCTCCTGCACGCACGGATCTCTTCCTCCATGCTGTATCCCCCGAGCCCCAGGCTGTAAGACAAGGTCAACACTGCAACTTTGTCGTGGTGCAGTTTATTATAAACATTCATTATTACTATTTCGCGGTGTTAGTCAAGGCTTCAGATCCTAAACTCAACACGTGTTTGTATCCCCGGCAAAGTTAGCGAACGGTTAATTTAGGCTAACCTACAAAATAACACTTGCCCTGTACGAAAGCATCTGCCTTAACCTGGATTGAGCAATTACCTTAAGATCACTTAAAACTGGCCATGATATCATCAGCGGAAATCACTACACCAACTCACGACATAGTTTCACAGGTTAACAGGATTTCGAGCGCTAGTTGACGAGATCCAACCAGTCCAGAAAGTTCAGGCTATATCGTCTCAGGAAAGGGCTAAACCTTCCCAGGGGCCTTCGTCCCTAATTCCAGAGGCTCGGGGTCTGCCGAATACGGCGAATTTTTCTAGATCTCATTGTTTAACAAGTATTGCTCTCGAATAAGCAGAGCTACCCACCGGCCTGAGCCTGCCCCTCCTTTTCGTCACATAGCGGCAGGAGTATGCCCGTGGGAAGAATGATCAGTATCCCCCTCAAGCCCGGTATGCCTGAAATATCAAACAAGAAAATTTACAAAAATCTGAGGTTATAGATGGTTTTCTGAGAGGTGATTGACCACTATCAATACCGCTCCTCGGCCGCCTTTGCCCTTATCATCAACAGGTTTCCGGGCTCTTCAACTTAACTAGGAGCAATGGGGCCAGTAAAGAATCACCCCCGTCGGATTCCAAAATCAGAGCACTTCCGCCGACACCACTAAACCGCACCTCGCACAAGAATTACACTCCAGCCATGCACTGCTATTCAAAACCGATACCTTAGTTCACTTTGCGTCAGAGATCCCCCGCTCCACCAGACTGCATCACTTGCGCCAAATAGCAAGCCCGGTATCTGCAGAAGCACACGGTTCAATTCCTGATCTGGGCAGCTAAAAAGCAAATTCATGGCCTCCCTGGGCTTATCCTCACACGCGGATTAAAGGCCGGACCGCCACAAGAGCTCACCTTTTCACGGCATGCTAAGGAGAGCTCTTCTATATTCGATCGGCAGTTAACACACTATAACAGGTTGCGATATAGTGATTCTCTGCGATACAACTATCGCAACTTTTGCCGACCTGCCTCTCATCAACCGGGTATTCTGTATGCCTGATCAGATTTAGCCTTCAAACACTTCTGGTAGGTTATCGAGAATCCCGTATCCCATACAGTAAAAAGCCGGCTCGATTTGGTATACTATACTATGTCGTGTTCAATATATGATAGTCTCTCCCGGCCCTTCAAACTATCTCATATAGGTACACCAACAAACCTACATCTTCCATTCTGGAATGTCCTCCTCGTATTCCTGCAGGGTAGCCAAGGTCTCCTGTACGCTTCCGACTTGAAAAAACTAGACAGGGTATTCTTGTTGCCTTGTTACAGGCACGTCTTCTGGGGGGCCTTTCTTCTTACCCAGTTGATTCATGGTTACTCACTCGGGATTGGTTTACCAAAGCTATATTCATGGTTGCGTGGGTTCTAGGTTGGCTGCTAAGCCCGACAACTACATATTTCCATGAATATAGCAATATGAGATAGCTCGTAGTGGAACTGATGATTACAAGTAGCTCGAATACGGATTATTCTCTATATGGTCTAGAGGATAGCAAAGGCGATGCGGGCGAGGAGGAATATAGGCTATCCATTCACAAACACATGGTCTAACTTCCTTGAGCTTGCCACTTACACATTAGGACGCTTTGACACACATTAACAAATTGCGGAAGGAATATACAGGAGGTATTAAACAGAATAATAACCACGATAGCCAAGCAAAGAAGCAGGATAAAATCGACAGCATAGACCTCGATGAATCCTGAGGGAGCACAAAGCAATATACGTATCAATAACGAACCCTGGTTTGTTTGGTTTTTTGTTTTATCTGCCAATATGAGGTCTACAGGGAAGTCGGATAAGTGGGTTCGATTGCGCGAATATAGATATTCAGCTCACATTAATGAATACGAGACGCATCTCTAACACCCATGCATTGGGCACTCCAGACGAAACGAGTGTGATGGGGAATTTCTCGGAATACTTCTAATTGCCGTATCAGGATTTGCCGGGCAATCGGTGGTAATGGATGGGGTGTCGAGAGCCCGCTATGCCCCGCCGTGCCCTTCCCACCAGTCTTTCTTGCTCATTAGAGCAGAAGCCATCAACACCACCTGTTCTTTCAAGGCGAAGACGAAAGCATAAATAGCGGCCATAGCCTCCCACATCCTTCCTTCTCCATCGGTCCCTCACTGTCCCGATCTTATCCAGAACTTAGCAGACAACAACTCAAATCAGGTATTCCCCCTCACTCGCCATCACTCAGAAACCGGAATCTAACGCAACCACTACAAGCTCAAACCTTCAATATCAAAACAACCAGTATTCTCCTTCCCATCTACCCCCTCCCCCCCATCAAACCGACACTAACTAAAACCCGCCAGTGCTTCTAAAGCCCATTCCCGTTCTCGCCCTATTCCTCACCCTCACTCACGCCGCGGCGCTCGCCAACCCCTTCGCCGAAGCCGACACCAGCGATCTCGAGAAGCGCGCTTGCGTGTACGACGGCTGCAAGTGCAGCACCAGCTGGAGCCCCGGGCTCTACTGCGGGTACTGCGCTGCCGTGACTACATGCAAGAATGGGTATCCATGCGAGGATAACGTGTACCAGTGCGGCGCTGGCGGAAAATGCTGCAACTATGGAGTCAAGACCACCTGCAAGAATAACCAGGGCCCTTGCGGCGGTTAAAGTACCTCTTTTCCATCTCAAAGAATTGATTGAGATCTCGGTGGATGGAGATGGAGGATCGTCTTCCAATTCACCTTTTCGTTTGTCAGTTGTTTAGGAGGAGGAGGCTTTCACTCGCTCTTTTTGTTTCTGATTTTCTCTCGATGATGTCCGCTGTTCTGGAGGATGGACTTATGCCGAACTCTTGTTTATCGAGCAATTTACGATGCTCCGAGTTGGTCTTAGTCACGCTCTCTCACTCGAGAATGTTTTATGTGGTATCGGATATTTTGAATGAAATGAGTCTCCTAAACTGATCGACGCTCAACGCGCCATTATGCCGGTGATAATAATAAGCAAAGCCAAACAGAAGTAATTCATGTGACCATCCAACCGACACTTCAAGAGGTCCTCGTTCCCGCATTGAATGACCCCAACAGATCGGAACACCGACCACGCCAACGGAACTGAAAACAGAAGCTGTAAGAAACCGGCTGATCTCCCCGCTGAGCCCTCCACAGTCCACAACCCCTCTTTCACAGCCCGCGTATCCCTAAGCCCCGGGCATGTCCAAAGTCGCACTTCCCGGAAACCGCCACCGGACGGACGGTACAAGTATGACAGACCATTTTCAAAGCGCCGCCACTACGAGAATCGGGTCACCACCGATCCCGACTGCTCTGATCCGTGCAATCGCCGAACACCCAAACCCCATTGAAAAATACTGGTGCCGTACACAGTCCGGCAAAAATCGGTCGGATCTTGGTGGTCCCGGCATGCAAGCCTTATGTATTTAGGCGTTCCGCGATCGTGCCCATTAAATGTACGGAAATTCTGCACTCATGGGGAGAGAGCCCAAGAAACCTTCTCGTCAGCTGCCTGCGAGAAATTCTAGAAGGTGGCCCAACACACTCTCGGATATCGGAAACTAAATCCGAGAAGAGGCCCGGCTCTACCTCCATACACCCCCATTTAGCAGATGCGGGATCTAGAAGTTCTCATACAGCTAACATACGCACATTATCTGTACCTTAGTAATCCAAGCGCCCCGGGCACCCGGTAAGGTACTCGAGATACCCATAGCACTTATCCCAGGAAGGAAGTAACTTACCCGAAAACAGGGATCAAGGAAATATCGTGAGAGAAAACCCAGTCTCGTTTTCAGATACATTATGCCAGAAACAAGCAGACACGTAAACCACCTACACAGCAGAGCTCTGCAGCACCTGAGGGACCAAGCTACAACGAAATTAACCCCCAGTTCACGTCCCCCACGCCATGACGCAGTATGATACACCAATTTCCACAAAGCCCGGACCGACCCCGGTCAAGACAATCGGGTAGGGTCCCGGGTTCGACCAAATCATCCTTTAATCACTGCCTGTTGAACATCATTGAAATGAGAAAAAAAAAAACCTCTATCGAGCCCAAAATCCCTTGGCTAATAATAAGTTATGGCAGCTCAAACCCCTCAGAAATCGAGATACTCGAGTAGAAAAAGGGTGGTTCGCCAGGGTTACCATTTTTTCTTTAAAAATATGAATAAAAATGGTGCCTGTTGAATCCACCCTCGAACAAGAGCCAAATCCCCAACCTTACTATTTGTGAGGGACATTGAAGCCTAATCAGGCGGATAAGATATTCGTTCTGACTTGTAATACCGGCCATATGTTAATTTGCCAAGCATGACGTTGTTACAAGCTAACCCCTTAGCAAATATCTAGTCCGGTATCATAATCGTTTTTTGCCAAGGAAATTAGCAGGAATGGACAAGTCCCAGATATTCCCCCTCCCCCCACTATGATACCAAAATATTGACCTACCAGTATGTCCGAACCCCAATATCTTCATGAAGACTTAACATGCCCTATTTTCTCCCAACTAATCTATAGAGAATCATCCATTCTATGATCCAACAGAGCCGCAATTCTTATCCGAGGGGGTAGTCGAAAACCCTTCGGGCGTTTAAGTCGAGGAATATTTCCTCTGCATGGTAGCCCTACCAGATGTCCTCAACGTACAAACGCCGCCACCGACCCCACTAACCGGGAGTCCCCTGCCCGGGGTGAACATAGCAATGACAGAAGGCAATCAACAGTTGAAATGCGCTGTGCGCAGGGCTTTAAGGACAGCAAGTTGGCTACTGCATTCGTTTATTGTGGATATATGTGGATAATTCTCTTCCTAAACGCTTTCCTTTATTTTGAGGTGGAATGTTCCGGAGACTCCTGCGGTGAAAAGGACATCGGCTCCGAATTTTACTATAATATTATAATACCGTAATATGATTATGTCTTGAGATGACCA